ATATGCAAAATGTCGCTCTCTTTGTTGTTCGGCTTGTCACTATAATTTCTTTTTCAGTTTGTTAATGAACACAGTTTTCAGAGGTGCTACCCGCAATGCCGAAGCATTGCCGTGAAGTGTGACTTCTCGCGCACCCCACACACACATGCCACCCCGCAAGGCCGTAGAGATTAGGTTCGTTCAATATGACACGGTGTACCGTGGTATATCGTAAAATGCAACATGCTGCAGCATACTTCATGATAGACTCTACATCACAGGAAGGTTAGGTCGTGGGAAAACCACTTCGTTTCGGTGAAGCCAGGGGTATGTGGGCTCAGGAACCCTGAACGCTAAACCCTAAACCCTACATGTTGTCTGAGGATTTGATGGCCATGGCCGAGGCGGATGTAGATGGAGAGGCTCTGTTAGTCTGCGCGCCTAGACCATTGGCGGTGGGTTCTTGGTTTGGGGTTCGAGACCGCAAGCCCCCGGGCCAGAAGCCCCAAACCCTACAAACTCAAACCCTGTATGTCTTTGGAAGCTTCCGGTATTTCGGGTTGAGCCCGCGTGGGCTTTGGATGTAGGTTTCAGATTTAGGAGGTTCAGTAAACCTAAGATGAAACCCTAACCCTAAAGCCCCATACCCTTTTGAGCCCGCACCCTCCAACCCGTCGTACTTCGATGATGGACGGTTACAGTTACAGTTGCCATCGCTGGCTCTTCGTGGGTGCTCTACTTTTCCAGCCTCACTTTTAAATCGATGAGTTTTGTCTGCAGGATCCACAAATCAATCACTGTCGTCTGCATCCTGCTTTCCATCATACACTTGCAGTCAGCAACAACAATTCAATCCAGTGACGCTCGTACATGCACACTTTGTGTTGATATTGCTCCGGCTCACGGGTACCGAAGATGAGGTCCCTGGTCGCCGGCTCTAAGATTTGTACCTCGTAGGTTCTCTCAATATGTTCAGCTTAACTTCAGAGGCTTTCGAACATTTTCTGTCGCGGTTGTTAAAGGGCAGGTGAGAAGTATATGTCTGGGAATGATGGCCGTTGGATGCCATCGTATTGACATCTGCCACTTCGTGGGACGGGGCTTAGGGAGCTTTGGCTGGTGCAACCTACAACCCTAAAGCCTCCAATCGCCTTAGCGGGGGTAAGGGAAGCTAAGGGAAACTCCGATGCCTCTGCTTGGGCCTGTGGCCCCCTTCTCTCTTCAGCCCACTTTGTCCCCAAAAAAGACCCCCGAACCCTTACCGCCTGGAGGTTTAGGATCTCAGGGGTCTGTGTTAAACATGCGGGCTCAAGGGAGAGGGTTCCGGGCCTGGGGTCTCGGATTTAAGGCTCTGGGGTCTTTAGGGTTTCAGGCTGGTTTAGGGTTTAGGCTTTAGGGTTCTGGGGCGTTTAGGGTTTTAGGTTTTAGGGTTTGGATGTCTTAGCGGCTGTGCGTCGGTTTACGGTGATGTACGTCGCCCTACGTATCGGCAGGCGGCGGACGACCTGTCCAAGATCAACGAAAGACTCTTTGCCAATGTTCAGAGGTGATTTTGTATGTTGCAATAAACCCTAAACCCAAGGCTCTAAATCCTAAGAGTGTCGAGTCACAGAGGCGGTGCCTTGTAACCTAAACCACCCAATCGTGCCGCCAAATTGCCGGGAACAATTTGAAGCTGCAAGAGGGTTAGGGTTTGGGGTTTAAGGCAAGAGCCCAGAATTATTCAGCCCCAAGACAACCCTACATGCCCTGCCAGAACCTTACTTCATCGTGAGCCAGACCATACTCTGCGTGTTGCTCTGGATCGTGGGGTCTGCCTATGAGGCAGTCACCGCGTGGACGCCCTAGCATGCAGTGGCTAGCTTCGGGGGCTGAAGAGTTTGCAGGGTCTGAAGGGTTTAGGGCTTTGGGTTTACTGCCTTAGGGTGTCAGAGCTTGCCTTTTGTGGGGTCTTTCGGCTGGGATTTTGAAAGCGGGACGGCTGCGACTTTGAGAAGCCCGAGCACCGATCTTTTTCGGGATCTGTCATGGGAAGGTCATAGAAGGTGCATAGATACAGCTTTAGACCCAAAACTTCAAACCTCCACGAAGGTCCGGTGACTTCTTCCTCTCCGAGGGGGGCGAGTTGGCTTAAGAAGATTCGTTCTAGGATTCAGGGAGAACAAACCCTAAACCCTGAACCCTAAACCCTAAACCCTAAACCCTTAATACGAATCCCATGCTTGGCGTTCGAAGTCGAAGTTGTCTTCATTGGCCGAAGTCAGAGGGACACAATTGAGCCTGGGATGCTGGGATTCAGGCGTGTTTTGTTGTGGGGGTTTAGGGTTTAGAGTTTGGGGTTTAGGGTTTAGGGTTTAGGGGTTGTGGGGAGTGGGGTTACCGTTGTCGATGGCCATGGTATTTGAGGGGTCGAGGGCCTAGAATTCAGGGTGTTTGTGATGTCAACATTGTTTGGTTCCTGTCTTTGTATTGCAATAGTGGAGAATGTTGAAGCAACTGTTACAAATAGCTGTAACAATGGGAGCCCAGGGCATCCCACCCGCCCAGAAAGCATGATCCACACCTAAACCCGGCAAACAACACATGTGGCCATGATATCGAGGACGTGGTTCCCCTTGCCAGGGTGCCCTAATGTACGAATCCACCCTAGCAGGCTATAGGTCCCCTCATATGCTCCCCAAAATGCTCTAGCCCTGAAACCCCTCCCCCCCTCCCTTGGGCAAACCCTAAACCCTAACCCCTAAACCCTAAACCCTGAACCCCAAACCCTCAACCCCATTGTGGCCCCCCAGATAGAGAAGTCTGGGTCCGCCCAGGAATTGAAACCTTCGCACCTGGCTGGACGGCCACGCTTGTCCACCGGGACGGGAGAAACGCAGCCCAAACGGGGTGTTTGGGGTTTCGGGTTAAAGCCCCAAACCCCAAACCCTAAAAAACCCTAAACCCACACCCTAACCCCAGGGTGGGCAGCTCTTTGAGACTTTTTCTCTTGGGGCCAGCCGCACATGAACGCTACTCCTAAGTCTCCTCGGACGGTCGAGCTCAAACGCCTGAGCCCCAAGCCCCTTGCTGTGGGCCTCTCGAGCCCGCTCCTAGGTGAGCAAGTTTTGAGCGCATATTCTCAGATAAGGTAAGCAAGTACATACAGACACAGATGCAAAATAGACCGTGTGTGCACATACATACATACGTAGATGTATGCATGTATGTATGTATGCATGCATGGATGTATGTATGTATGTATGTAACATGTCCAATCACAGTCCAGAGGCGAGAAACATCTCAACACATAGCAGCCCAACAAAGGCTACGAAGCCGTATCAAAGGTATGTTTGTATTCCGTATGTGTGTGTATGCGTCATGTCATGTCATGTAATGTCATGTAATGTCATGTAATGTCATGTCATGTAATGTCATGTAATGTCATGTAATGTCATGTAATGTCATGTAATGTACTGTAGTGATATGTAATGCAATGCAATTCAATGCAATGCAATGTAATGAAATGAAACGAAATGTCATGTAATGTAACGTGCTGTAATGTAATGTAACGTGCTGTAGTGTAATGTAATGTCATGTAATGTAATGTAATGTAATTTAATGCAATGTAAAATAATGTAACGTAACGTAACATGACGTAACGTAACGTAACGTAACGTAATGTAATGTAATGTAATGTAATGTCATGTCATGAAATGTCGTGCAATGTATTGCATATGCCATGTAATCATCCGAAACGAAACGAAACGAAATGAAATGACATGAAACGAAATGACATGACATGACATGAAACGAAATGAAACGAAATGAAATGTAATGTAATGTAGTGCACGGTAATGTAATGTAACGAAATAGCGCGTGCCGCGGTTTCAAGAAAAGCGGAAGGGTACAAGCCCCTAAGCTCCAAACCAGAAACCGGACCTCCAGTCCACCAAAGTGAGCTCCAAACTCTCAAACAGCCCTCTGTGTGGAGGACTGCGAGGACCATGGCTGAGAGGGGCCCTGGGAGTGAGAGAGGGGTTTGGGAAAGTCTAGGGTTTTTCCGGTGGCCAGGTTCGGGGTTTTCGGGTTTTAGGTGGTTTGGGTTTTTTGGGATGATTTAGGGCTGAGTTTTGAATCGTACGATATCGTTCCTCCTGTTTCATTGAGCGCCTCAATGCGGGCCCGCGGGTTCACCGGTTCGCGTGTTCTCGTGTTCGCGGGTTCGCGGGTTCACAGGTTCGCGGGTTCACGGGTTCACGAGTTCGCGGGTTCACGAGTTCGCGGGTTCACGGGTTCACGGGTTCGCGAGTCCACTGGTTCAGGGGTTCACGGGTCGTTTAGGTTAGTGTTGTGGGTTTTGCTCAGGGTTTATAGAGGGTGTTTGCTGGCATTGGAGGGTTCAACAATCTCAAAGAATTCGGTGTCATCGCCGCAGGACATGCGATGGCAGGCCTGGCGTTGGCCACTTGATTTCACTGGCTGGGTCGCTCAAGAACTAAAACCCCTAAGCTGGCCATCCTCAATCCGAAGCCTTGAACTCTGAGGGCTATGGGCTTTTAGGGTTTAGGGTTTAGGGTTTAGGGTTTAGGGTTTAGGGTTTAGGGTTTAGGGTTTAGGGTTTAGGGTTTAGGGTTTAGGGTTTAGGGTTTAGGGTTTAGGGTTTAGGTTAAGGGTTTAGGGTTTAGGGTTTAGGGTTTAGGGTTTAGGGAGGGCCTAGAGCTGAGGGTTTAGGGTTTAGGGGGCCTGGCGGCCTGAACCCTGAAGCAAGAATAGGAATTGCTTCCAGCATGTTTTTTCTTGATCCCTGTGTAGACAATATACCTTCCCCTTCCCTGCATAAATGCCCAGGGTTTCAGGGCTTTCGGCTTGTTGGGGGATCCAACATCTTTCCAGTACGCGACTGGGGGTTTGTGATTTGTGACTCTCAGGGTGGGCGTACTCGGAGTTTTTGCCTGGGAATTTAGAGCTTGGCCCTTAAGCCACTGCACTAGTTGAGGCTCACCTACCAATGGACGCATGGCCACTTCACGCACATCGCGATGAATACCCTGGTGACCGTCTTCGCCGGGATTCCTTTAGAAGGAGCCTTAGACAGGTGTGAGCTTTGGAGGTTGAGTCGAGGCGTGCGGGCCGGGGTTTGTAGGCTAAGCCCTTGGCAGCCCCAGGGAAGATGTGTTCGGGTTGTCCTTGGCGCTTTCAAGACTGCCAGCAAAGCCCAAGGCGCTTCACCCACCCTTAAGCTTCAAAACGCCTGGAACCGCACATAGCCCTAAATCCCAAGTGCCCTCATGCACGAGGGGAAAGGTGGGAAAAGGGGGGGAAAAGAGGGGGGGGGGAAGGGGGGGGGAAGTGGGCGGGGAAGGGAAGGGGGGGGGAAGGGGGGAAAGGGGGGGAACGGGGGAAGTGTGCGCAGGACTCCACGGCTGGAAGCGCACAGCCTTCATCTTCGAGGCGCGCGCGCGCGCCGGATACTGTAGGTCTAGGAGGGCCAGGCTCCGTGAGTTGTAGGCAAAGACAAGGTTTCGGGCTTCGGGTTCAGGGTCGGCGTCTACCTAAACCCAAACTCTAAACATCCCACAGCCGAGGGGACAACTTAGGTTTTTTCAAGCCCGCCCTCTTCTTGCGCCCCTCCCTAAACCCTAAACCCTAAACCTTTAAACCCTATAGCCTGCACCCTGAGCCCTAAACCCTCCCGAACCTATCCTGACGCTGCCCAGGCCAGCGTGCTCTGCGGTGCCCTGTGGCACATGACCTTCAGGAGCTCTCGCGGGTGGTGGACCCTAGAAGCCTTGAGCAAAGCCCTAAGCCCTAAGACCTTAGCGCTAAACCCTCACCAATAAGACCCAAGCCCTAAGACCAAAGCCCTAATTAAGCCCTAAACGCTAAGCAGGTCTAGGGCGGCTGGTGTTGGTCCACGGCGGGCCTGGGCATTCGGTTTTAGAGCTCAGAGTTCAGGTCTTGTGTCAGACGTGCCCCCCCCCCCAATCAAAATGGCCATAAGTGCACTCAACAGGTGTGGCCATTGATCATGTGAGGTTTAAGGATACTGCAAGGTTTTGATGAGACTGGGCGTATTTTGTCTGGACAGGTTGCTCAGGATATTGGGTGACACCGAGCTTCGCAAAGAATGGCAAGCATGAGTGTGATAGAGAACGCAACAACCTTGAGCAGTTGCTGTCGCCATGGACAATCCCGCTCGGAAGCGGGCACGGTACTCTTTGCAGGCCGACATCGACGTGGAGGTTGAAGGTCAGGCGGTGCAGGTGCATTCGCAGGTCCTCATGTCTGCATCTGAGATTTTCGCGAAGATGCTGCAATCAGACACGCAGGAGGCTGCTACAGGGCGCATCGTTCTGCGCAACAAGACGCTGGAAGGTTTTAAAGAGGTTCTCGAACACTTGGATCTGCGTGGAGGGGCGGCGCCGCCTGCCATTACGTTGGACAACGTGGATCTGCTGCTCCAATATGCAGATGAGTTCCTGATGCCTGGCTTGTTGGCGAGGTGTGAAGCATGCTTGGTTGCGAAATGCCGCGAGGGGCAGGCAGCATATGCGCTTGAGATGTCTGATAAATACAACTTGTTGGGGGCAAAGCTAGCAGCTACCCGTGAACTGGCGCGAGTTCACGATGGCCAGCTTCTAGGATATGAAGCTGATGCAACCGTCAGGCGAGCAGTGTACGAAGAACTTGTGCAAGCACTCAAGGCTGCTCCTTGGAAACTCAAGATGGATGAGAAGGCCGGGTCTGTGTCAGGGGATTGGAAGCTGATATTGGACGCGCTTGCTGAGATTAAAATGTTGGACCGTGAGCGTGACTTCAATCGGGCCATGCGCAGTGATGATGAGCTGCAAGCCATGAAGATGCTCATTAAGGCCTTTTTGCTCCGTTTTGAGAATCGACGCATGGGAAAGCCCGACTAGTGTGGGACAGCGAGACTAGCCGACTGACTGGCCAAGCTGCAGAAACTGCGCCGTCGCTTTCTTGATGTTGTTGCCTGGCAAGGTGAGTTGTGCTGTTTCTGGTTTTCTTGCGGGTTTAGGGCTTGGGTTTAAACTCTATACAACCAATACAATTTCCCCCCCCCCCACCCCCAGATTGGTGTGTGACTACCTAGCCACTGCTCGCTTGGCATGGTAAGGTTCGGCTGTCTGAGCCACGTGTGATTGTTGCGCCGATGTCTTTGCAAGATCTCTCAAGCCGAGCTCGGCATGTGCCCGTAGACATGTCAGCAGTGGTTGTAGTTGGTACCAAGTTGTCACGAACAAGGCATCACTGTAGAGCTAGGCCCTTGAAAGAGAGAACCTCCATGCACGTCGGTTGCTGGGCTTTGCAAAGGCGCCCGTCATCTGCCGCTGTCAATCCTGTACCTGCCCGGTAACTGCAGGAGAAGCCGGGCCTTGGTGTTTCCAGTGTTTCCAGGTTATCAGGATGGAGGAGCCGACTCCGAAGCGGAGGCGGCATTCCTTGCAAGGCGACGTGGACGTGGAGGTGGAAGGACAGATCGTTCAAGTGCGGTCGTACGTCCTCATGTCTGCATCTGAGGTTTTCGCCAACATGCTGCAGTCAGATATGCAGGAGGCTTCTACAGGGCGCATCGTTCTGCATGACAAGACGCTGGAAGGTTTTAAAGAGGTTCTCGAACACTTGGATCTGCGTGGAGGGGCGGCGCCTCCTGACATTACGTTGGACAACGTGGAGCTGCTGCTCCAATACGCGGACGAATACCACATGCTTGGATTAAAATCACGCTGTGAGCGTTTTCTGATTGAGACCTGCAGCGACCAGAACGCGGAGTACGTGCTGTCCATCTCGGACATGTACAACATGACCCTAGCAAAGCGAACGGCGACCCGCAAACTTGCACAAGTGGTCGGTGGACCTCTGCGCAAGTACGAAGCGGATTACACAGTCAGACAGACTGTCTATCAAGAACTTCTGGAGGCTGTTGGCATGCTCAGCGCTACAGTTACACTCGACTCAGATGATGAGAACGCAGGCAGTCAGAGCGCCACTGCTTCTGAGCACTGGAAGGCCATCTTGCAAGCACTGGCCGAGTTGAAGAAGACTCCCAGGTCTCGGCCCGACTCCATCTTCGGGCTTGGGCTCTTTAGTGGCAGTAGCAGTCCCCCGTCGGACCTCGCGCCAAGGATAAAGAAGATCGTGCATCTGTATCTTGAAGACTTTGAAAAGGACCATACCAGCACAGCAGGCGCGCCCAGTCTGGATTCGGTACTTGCTTCGTGCCTAGTGGACTGACTGCAGCCAAAGTGCTGTCAGCACGGCTACGGACAGACTCCGATGAGCCCATGAAAAGGGCTTTGTCAGGTGTCTTTGAGGGGGCTGAGGAAGGGTTGCCCCTCGCAGGGTCCCAGCGCCTCGGAAGAGATTATGGCTTTGGCCCTAAGAACTAAGAAGGTCCCCCCCCCCCGCCCACCCGGAGTTTGCCCTGAAGCCTCCACATCCAAATCCCCAAACACTACCATGAACCCCTAACTCCTGCACATGCCTTGGGTTGACCTCAGCCCCACCTTGAAAGCTCTGGATAGCTGAGTGAGCAGGCCCCATGACGCGAGTCTCGTTGGAATGTCCGCCGGCTGCTATGCACTGATGGTCCAGTCCTCAGTCGAATACAGAAGCCCGCATCATGGGCCAGTATTCCTCAGGGTGAAGGGTTTAGGGTTGAAAAATCTGTAGACAACTAGAATCACTACCCGGAATACCCATCCTAAACCCGAAGCCCCAAACCCCCCTAATGAAATCGGGCCTTATATCCTTGCCGCCTTAGCCGTCTCACAGGGTCTCAGGTTTCTTTGAGGCTGTTACACACACACACACACCCTGAAGCGTAGACCCTAAATCCTGAACTCTAAACCCTAAACCCTAAACCCTAAACCATATCCCCTAAAGCGGACAACTATTGTTTTCGAGTTGCAATGTTCCCAGCCTGGCCCAGTGAAAAGGCTCCAAGTGAATGGGCCGCCAGGAGCCCAAAATTGCGGTGTTGTGCATTCTTCAAGCGTTTAGGGTTTAGGGTTTAGGGTTTAGGGTTTAGGGTTTAGGGTTTAGGGTTTAGGGTTTAGGGTTTAGGGTTTAGGGTTTAGGGTTTAGGGTTTAGGGTTTAGGGTTTAGGGTTTAGGGTTTAGGGTTTAGGGTTTAGGGTTTAGGGTTTAGGGTTTAGGGTTTAGGGTTTAGGGTTTAGGGTTTAGGGTTTAGGGTTTAGGGTTTAGGGTTTAGGGTTTAGGGTTTAGGGTTAGCTCCTTGAGCAGCTGAGGCCATGCACATGGCAGATGTGGTGATGAACTGGGCGCAGCATCGGCCCACCGGCATATCAGGGGCCCTGAGAGACGTTTCGGCGCGCTATTCTTTTGGCGTTCAGGGTTCAGGTTCTTTCCTCGTGTGCCTACCCTTGCGAGAAAAACTATCAAAAATCAACTTCTCGAGCCACAGAAAGCGCAGAGGTGGCGCTTCCCGCGCGTCCTGCTGCTGGTTGTCATGCGCCCGGGCTGCAAAAGCGTCACATGACGCCTAACTCAGATCCGAAGTCTGGGTCTGAAGTCCCAGAGGTAGTTGGGAGTTTCAGGGCAAACCCAGGCACCTAAGCTTCGTGCTCTTCGGCTTCGACCCTATCCCGAACTCCACCTACAAAACCCTGAGCCCCCCAAAGCCCTCATCCCTAAACCCCAAACCGTAAACTGCCAGCCCAGGGTTCTGAGTCAGGGCCCAAAAAAGGTTTAGGGTTTCGGGTTTAGGGTTTAGGGTAAAGAACCCGGCCAGGATCGTCTTAGACGTGGGCGCCGGCATGATGGCGAAGCCGGACGATGTCACCGGGCACGCGGCCCACTTTGGAGGCTACCTCTCAGGCCAGCGCCGAAGGGTTTGTGGAGACCCGAACGCTTGAACTGCCAGACCCCCTAACGCCGTGCCCGATTCCCCCGCCCCCTCCCCCCTCCCCTCTCCCCGAACATACCCTCCGAAGGCCTGATCTTCGGCGTCTTCTTCGTGCGCAACAAGAAGGTCACGAGGTGCGAGCAAGTGCTCAAGGCCAGGGCACACTGGGCACGCTGGGCTTCAGGGCTTCGAGCCTCAAAGCAAGCTGCAGCTCGAGGGTTCCAATTCGTAGCATGCAGGCTCTGGGGGCTGAAGTAGGATTTTGTCAAAGCCGGCAGCCTGCAATCTCGTCATAGATGCAATCTCGTCATAGACTGAGCGGCCCGAAGCCCACAGAATTGTGCCAGTGAAGCGGTAGATGATAACCACATGAGCTCAGAAAGAGGGTTCGTGTCTTTGCGCCTGTGACGTGGTGGGCTGCAAGGGTGGTAGAGCGGGAAACCCTAAGGCCCGAAACACCTCAGCCTGAACAGCCCTGAGCCCTACCTTTATCGGAGGTGGACAACGGACAACGATGCCTTGAACATTACAACCCCTGAAATCCAGAAGCCCTAATCCGAAACCCTAAGCCCCAGAAAGGGTCGACGGCTCATCCCAAGGTGGTGATGCTTCTGATCGGTCTGGGCTGTCTAGGCTTCTGCTTCTACAGGACCGCGGGAAAGTAGGGCCACGTTCCTGGAGGTTTAGGCTGTTTGGCGTTTTAGGGCTCCATACCTTCAGGACTCTTGTGTGTAGGTCCGGGGGCCGAATGAGCTCATGCCTCACAATCACAGGCCAGCCCGCAAAGTTCTTCTTGTGGTTTTAGTTTGAATGTCGGGCTCGGGGTAGGGATAGGCTCGCTTCTGAATCCCACTTAACACCAGGAGCACCCTGAACCGGACAAGTGCGAGCGTGTCTCTGCCACAAGCTGCTCTAGAACAGAAAGCTCCCGAGATCCCAAGCCTCCGAAAACTTGTGCTTTGAAGTTTCAGGGGGCTCCGATATATACATATTTGAGATTGCATGTAATAAACACAAAAAAACACATAATAAAAATATCCACATATATATAAATAAATAAATAAATAAATATATATATATATATATACATACACATAACGAAAGCGTTAGGATCAGCAGCTGGGCGCCGCGATCCCTATGGGACGACGGTGTTCCCTGGTGCTGGGCGCGGCAGGCTTGTCGCCTTTGGGGGAGCAAAGACTGTTCGTACAAGGGCGGAACATCCTGTTCTGAGACGAAGAGTACTAAGGCCTTAAGCGTTAGGCCCTCATGCCCTCATCTCTTGTGGTATCGGCCTTCAGATCTCAGGCTCATCAAGGTCCTTAGAGATCTTAATAATGGTCGAAGTAGAGCTGCAAAAGCAGCAGCCGCTAAAGCCAGCCAGCCACCGTTTCGCTCTGCATCTCCTAACTGCTTGGTGCATGGGACTAGGTCTTCAAGCAGAAGCTCAAGAGTGGGCTGATCGGCTCTAGGATTGTTTAAAGCCCAAGACCCTCAAACCTTGAGCGTAGTTCCGTAGGCACATAGAGAGAAACTCCGAGTCTTCTTCCGCCTTTGTTGTTCGTGGGATTCATGGTACGTGGCGCTCGAGATTTTGCTTTGCGGTGCAGAGCGGAAACGAGATTAAGCACCGAGCCTCACAGAAGCCGAGGATCCTCCCTACTAGGCCATCACACCCCTTCATGCCGGACCAGTTGTAGGGGTGGGGTTCCCAGCCTAACTTCCGCACGAGAACCCCAAACCCACTGAGCTAGCTGGTTCAGGCCTACTCATACACCTACTTCGGGGACCAGGCGTGGCAGTCCACGGCTTGAGAGTGTTTCGGGCGAGGGCTGCCAAAGCTTATGCATAGGACGTGTCAGCAAGCTATCTTAAACCTTGGCCCTAAACCCTAGACCCCAAGCCCGAACAGGGTTTCGGGTTGGGGGTTGACACAAGTTGCCCAGACCGAGTTCTACCTGCCTTCTAGTTCGAACCCTATTTGTGCCCATAAACCTCTCCAACTATAGGCCCCAGCTGTGAGTAGCCCCCAACCGAAGAGAAGGAGTGGCATTGCCTCCGCTGCCCGGACGACGCGTGCGCTGCCAGTTTCGAAGCTGTGCTGTCAGCCAGCCTGAGTCCCGCCACTGGGTGCATTTTTGTTAAGCCCTAAACCCTAAACCCCACACCCCAAACCCTAAACCCTAAACCCTCAGCTCTAAACCCTAAACCCTAAAAGCCCTAGACCCTAAACCCTAAACCCGAAACTGCCAGAAGTGGGCGTGGCATCCGCCGTCTCCGGTCTGTTGCTCTCTTGTCAGAGCTGGAGGACTTGCAACCCCCAAACCCCTAAGACCCAGGTCCAAGACCCGAAGCCTTTGCAAACCCCAGGCTAAGCCTTCAGCCTCCCCAAACACCCCAAAATCCTCGAAAGAGCACAATAGCCAGCAAGGTCAGCTACATTGCATGTGCCTTGACTGCATCCTTTGGTCTGAGGTCCGTGAGCTGATCAGGGGGTCTTCGGGACTTGAGGATCAAAGGCTCGATCTTGCCCAAACAGCCCTTATGCTTCCAAACATTTCATACAAGCTCTGTGATCCTAGAAGCCCGGTAAACCACCCACACCAAGCCCTAGAGGAGCCCCCCCCCAAAAAAACAGGGAACCTGCAATCTGAGGTGACAAGGACAGCTTGTGGTGGAACTGATGCGAAAGCATCGAGTCAGAGACCGCAGGGCGTCCAAATAAGTCCGGGAAAGATCCTGTGAACTACGCTGTGCCATCTTGGGCGGTTTCCAAAAATTAGGGCTCAGGGTCCTTGTGACAGGGATTAGCTACTTTTTTAGCTCCAAATGGTGGGTGGCAGCTTCGTATCTTTGCTTGTCAGAGTATTTCAACCATTATGGTTCTAAGGGGGAGCAGCGACCGACATCCTGATGTACTGATCATCTCAAGCTATTCGCAAGAAGCCGCGTGCGCACCTGCTGTTGGGGCATCATCCTTCAAGACCTTCCTGACACAGAAAAATCGACATGTCCGGAGACACTATTAAAGCCGGCACCTAGTAGGACCTAGCCTAACTTGGCCAAATACTTGGCATTGGGGCCACTGGACATTTCCCTGCTTGTGCTCGGCCGCCCCCTGCGCGAAGCGCGCGCAGGCGCGGGTCGTGGTCGGAGCTGTTCAGGCTTCCCCGGTTCAATCGTCCGAAGTCCGAAACCCCCTGCTCCCGGAGCCAGAACAGACCAGAGCAACCACGACTCAGCGACCATAGTAGCGCCCCGGAAGAATTCGGCGCCCTGACGCGAGCCGACGTAGAAGAGGGGACCTCAGAGCCAAACCAGGATTCACACAAGCTCTCACAAGCATGTAATGGGATCCCTCACCCTCTCCCGCCAAGACAGAGATTCTGGCAGTTGTTGCTGATGTCGCATCTAAAATGGGTTGCTGACAGGTGGTCTCATAATGGATTCGCCCCTCTGCCACTGCGAAAGTTCATGATTCGACTCTGGGGCTTGTGCTTCAGACCTTAGCGCCTGGCTTGTGCTCGCAGGGCGCTGAGGGTCCTCTGTGGGTTTCTTGCGCCCCGAACAAGAGCGGGCGGGTGTATGCAGAGCCTCGCGGACTGAGGGGGGCAAGCCTTGCTGTTGTTTGGACCTCCAGCGGTACTTATATAACTAGGATTGCTAGATAGAGTTTGTTCGAACCTTCTTCGGGGCACTTAAAACCCTGCTTAGAATTTCCCCATGGGCCTACAAGTTGTCTGGGATTTGGTTTCGGCTTTGACGTTGCTGTCGTCTGAGCCTTGAGGGTTCAGAGCCTAGAGGATCCATCTCGTTGGCTACGAAAGACTCCTAATCCTCCAGGAGACTTTTTCAGGATGTTCTGCCCAGAGCCCCAATGGCTTAGAACTGCCCTAACGCCTGAGGCAGAAGAAACCCCAGGCCTACCCCGACAAGAACTCTTCCACCGAATCCTGAAACGTGAAGTGCGTGAAGAATCGAAGCTCTCAAAACCCTGGATGTCCGTGAAGTTCTGCTTTTGCTAAGCAATGGCACCATGCCTGCGACTGGGGCGAGCATCCACATGTAAGGCGGACGCGCTGTCCGGACGAAAAAGGGGGGGTGCAAAATCTGCTCTTACCCCTCAGCCTTCCTGATGGCAGCCCCTCGGCCCTGAACCCAAAAAAAACCCTAACCCCTAAATCCTAAACGATAAACCCTAGACCGCTGCAGGAGAGGCCTCAGGCGCTGAGCTAGCACCCTGGAGCAGCAAAACGAGCGTCTGTCTCCAAACTATAAACGCCTTTGAAGCCCTCCCGCCCTACCCCGCCCCCGAACCCTTGATGGTCACAAGGGAGGCGCGTTCAGGGCGTCTGGGGCATATAGTGGTCTTTATTTATGATGTACGGCACTCGGATCCGGGGCCTCGGGTTTGAGGGTTCTCTAAACTCTCAACTTCCCCTTACTTCGCGGGGCTTCCCTAAATCCGAATAAGCCCACGTTTGGCATCCAGACTGCATTGATCCCCCCGGCCACCGTGAGACTTGAAGCTTCAGGCGGCTCGTCGCTGGGAAGCGAAGAGTGTGGCCTCACTTTCTACTACACCCAGGCTGGGCTGATTTTTGAATGCCAATTCGTCCAGGTTGATGTGAGCGTATTTGGCTGCCTTGTAGTACGCAGGCTAGCGCAGAGTCTGGCTCTCCAGCTATTTTTGGGAGGTGGTCTGTAGGGTCACACATTGTAGCCATCTTCGGGCACGTACAGCCTTACACCTTGCACTGACGAGGCGTCGGAGATCCCGGTGACCCTAGCAGCACCCGGAGCCGGGAAGCCGAGTGCTGTAGTGGCAGGGTTTCTGGGATTGGGGTTTGAGGTTGCTTGGTGGTTTAGTTTAGGGTTTGGGGTGCTGGGTTTGTGCGGTATCGAGAGCTTGTTGCACGGCACCTCCACCCTGGGTGAGTGGGCCCTGATTCCATGTTTGCGGGCCCCGAGACTCACAACCCCAAGGCCCAAGCACAACCCTAAACCTTCAAACCCCAAAACCCCAAGCCCAAGCCCTCAACTCTTGAACCCCTAAGCTCCTAAACACCTGATCCCCTGATCCGCTAAGCCCTTAAGCCCCTGAGCCCCCAAGCCCCTGAGCCCCCAAGCCCCTGAGCCCCCAAGCCCCTAAGCCCCTAAGCCCCCTAACCCCCCAAAGCTGAAAGGTGCGAGGCTTCGGGCACCTCTTCTACTTCTCCGGCTCGCGCGGGCGCCCGGAGCCATCGTGGAAGCAAGTAGGGGCCCTTTTGTGTGTGTTCGGGATTTCGGGGTTTAAGGGTTTGGCCGGGGGGGGTAAGGGTTTTAAGGGCCTTTAAAGGTTAGCAGCGCAGGGTTTCGGGCTTAGGTTCTTGGGGTTTGGCTCAAGATTCGGTCCCCAAGCCCTAAGCCCTAAACCCTAAGCCCTTAAGCCCCAACCCCTAAACGCTAAACCCTTCACCCGTCCCCCCACCCCTTTCTATCCTGGGGATGCTAAGAAGGTTCTGCAACTCGATGACGGTTCAGTCGGCAAAATGCTTCGACGACGTCTGCCCCGAAGGCCCCGAGTCTGTTTTTTTCTTGGTTTAGGGTTTAGGGTTCAGGGTTTAGGGTTTCAGGTTTGAGGGTTTAGAGGTTCAGGTTTGAGGGTTTAGAGGTTCAGGTTTCCGGGGTGGGGCTTCCAGGGTTGGGGTGTCCCATAAGCCCTCGACCGTCAAGCTGGGCTGGAAATCTCGACTTGGGATTTGTCTCCCTTGTAACTCCCCGCCGTGTTCGGAAGAGTCTTAGAGGAGGCCGCTTGTACCTGGCGCCTGCAAGACTCAACCCTTGCAAAGCAAGGATCTCATAAGGTATTAATTCCGGTGTTAAGGCCAAGAGGGCTATCTTGGGGGCTGGATCTGTAGGGTGTCGTGGGCCTCACTCCACCTACCAGGGCTATCTTGGTTGAGGGCAATTTCATTTCGAGCTTGAACGAAGCCTTTCAACTCATCTCAGTGCTGACTGCAACAATCTGCCAAGGAGGCGAAGTTAAATCTGCAGCATCGGGTGCCTGAACCCGAACCGATGTCCTGAACGCCAGGCCCCGCAAAAAGACCCAAAGCCCGAAACCCCCGACTCTGCCGAGCCCTGAGCCTCCTCTAAACCCACGACACCTGCGCAACAAACATACCTCGAAGCACCTGGACAGTCCATTCCCATACCGCACGAAAAAGTGAACAAAACAAAGTGGCCTAAACTGGGTGGAGGGTTTGGGGCTGAGGGGTTAGAAATTGTTAGAAATCGTGTGTATATATGTATGCACATGCATACTTTAACAGTATATGAATATGATATGTCATACAAAAAGTACATAATATGAATAGATATATATAGAAACAAATAAAAATCTATAAACAAATAACAATAAATACATAAACAATAAATAAACAATATATATATATATATATATATGGTAGCCCCCCCCCCCCAAAGATCTACCTTTTTAACACTGTTTTTCAAGGAGACAACACAATAAAACAATGCAGTCTGCTTCTCCGATTCATCTGCTGCTCAACTTCATAAACTCACAATGAACTCACAAGTGCTTCATAAGAACTATGACTTCTGTGTTACAGCCGTTTTAATTGAAACGGCCGACGTTTCAATTGAAACGGCCGGGATCCAAGATCCAAGATTTTGAGGGGCTATTGGAAATGCATCTTGGAATCCTATATCTTGGATCCCAGCCGTTTCAATTGAAACGGGAAACGTTTCAATTGAAACGGCCGGGATCCAAGCTAGATTCCAAGATGCATCTCCAACAGCCCCTCAAAATCTTGGATCTTGGATCTTGGATCCCAGCCGTTTCAATTGAAACGTCGGCCGTTTCAATTGAAACGGCCGGGATCCAAGATCCAAGATCCAAGATTTTGAGGGGCTATTGGAAATGCATCTTGGAATCTTATATCTTGGATCCCAGCCGTTTCAATTGAAACGGAAACGTTTCAATTGAAACGGCCGGGATCCAAGCTAGATTCCAAGATGCGTCTCCAACAGCCCCTCAAAATCTTGGATCTTGGATCTTGGATCCCAGCCGTTTCAATTGAAACGGCCGACGTTTCAATTGAAACGGCCGGGATCCAAGATCCAAGATCCAAGATTTTGAGGGGCTATTGG